ATATCTACGTATACATATATTTTTATCAGAAGTTTTTTTATATTGATATAACTATAAGCTCAGTCCTGAGGGAATGTCAATCAGTTTTGTAACTTGCTGTCAGAACACTGTAAACTGCATTATTAAGTGATAATAAAAAAATACTGCCTAACTATACGGGTTGTTGGTCAACGATTTATTATTCATTAGTCGGACACAGTATAGCATTTCAAACAAGGTTTTAGTGTAGTATTTTAAAGTTACATGCATTTGAAAAATTCTGAAAAAAGTCATTTAGTACTTTCCCCCCAAAACTAGGCCGATAGGGGGGGGGATTTGGTTTCACACCAAAAAGGATCTGGGCCTAGTCCCTAGTTCACGTGAACCTTCTCACCCCCAGATCGTCCCTGCTAGAGAGGTCGTACTTTCCTGAGGAGGAAATGGTTCGTGGGTGTGTCGGCCACACTAACAACTTCTGATTGGCTGGGCGAATTGCAAACCACGCCCCGTAAAACTTCGAAAAGTTTTGTGAAGCCGCCATTTTATTTGCTCGCGTTAGCATTATTAGCATTAGCTCAGCGCAGCAGCGGAGAGAGACTAACTTATGGCAACACAAAAGAAAACATGGGAGCGGTGGAGTGATGAGGAGGTGTCGATTTACTCGGAGGACGCGACCCAGCAGCTTCTGAAGCCACTCCCCGACTCCAACGTTTACGAGAGAAGAAGAAGTGACTCATCGTCCCTCAGGGACTTATTCCGGTGAGACGGCGATCAGGACAGCTCCAGGGACTAAAGAGTTCGGGGGGAACAAGTACCGGCTAAGTACTTGGTGTGAAAGCGGCGATATAGTATAGTATGTCGAAAAATATAAATAAAGTCAAAGTATATTATTTATTACACATTTATAAAAAGTCATAATAAAGCACATCAAGAAAAGGTTGTGTGAGACATTAAAATAAATCACTGCAGCTTTTTCTTCAAACGCTCCATATTGATCTGGAGCAGGCCGAGGCCGGAGAGGAACGATGACCCAGATCCTGCAGACCCCCGTCAGAGAGAGACCCCCCAGGACCAAACCTCCACATCAGAGACAGATTCAAACCGAGACAAAGTTAGAAACCCCGTCCCTCCGGATTCATGTCACTCCTGAACTCAAAGAGCGTAGAAACACAGGAAACTAGTTCAGACACGACTTGATGAAACGTACATCTGTAGTTTTCAAAGTACCGGCGAAAAACTCTCGGTCAAAGCTTCACAGTTTTGCAAAACCAACAAAGAAGACAACATGAGATAACCTTTATTTACCCCTGTAGGTAAATGCAGGTGTCATAGCAACAACATGAGTAAAGCAAACAGAATGGGAGGTAAAAGGACTTTTAGAATAACAAATAAACGTTTAATCCTTTAGTTATGCAATAATAATAATAATAATACATTATAGTGCTCTTTATGAACTCAAAGACGCTTTACAGTGTGAGGGAGGGTGGACAAACAAAGACAGGAAATTGATATTGTGAAAAAATCCTTGCATCTCAATGCCGAAACTAAAACAATATGTAGTGCAGCTTTAATGAGAAGCAACTGGCTTAAAATGTGAATTATTTGAACCTCTTATCTTCCTGAATACGACCCAAAGCGGCCAAGAAATATAAATTATGAACATAAGAATTAGCATCTCTTCCCCTCTACAGAAATGTATTCTGTAACGTCGACCTGAAGCTGAACCTGCAGTTTCCTACGAGCAGACTTTTGATTCCCGTCAGCTCGTTTTTACATAAAATAATTTCAGAGATACGATGAACTTTGAACGCCTCGCTCAGAGAGGCTGGATTTATTACTGCTTAACACCTGAACATCAGCAGGAGAGGACTCTTTAAAGTAGAGACACTACATACTGATATACACCTGAACATCAGCAGGAGAGGACTCTTTAAAGTAGAGACACTACATACTGATATACACCTGAACATCAGCAGGAGAGGACTCTTTAAAGTAGAGACACTACATACTGATATACACCTGAACATCAGCAGGAGAGGACTCTTTAAAGTAGAGACATTACATACTGATATACACCTGAACATCAGCAGGAGAGGACTCTTTAAAGTAGAGACACTACATATACACCTGAAAACGATCAGAATAGGGCCCCTTTAAGTTAAAAATATCTGATTGATTGTAATGCATTTGATAATCCAAAATGCCCAACAGTTAACTAGTTATTGTAACGTGAGCCTGCTCACCATGATAACATTCCTCTGCCTGATTATATCTCCCCATTCAGTTTGCCCTCAGGTACAGAATCAGAGGTTAGTCGTTGCAAGCATTTCCCTTCCTGATGCTCCTGACGTGTAATTACAGCTGCAGATCATCACAGTCACTTGTCAGGTTTCTCAGATTCTCCCACAGTGCAGAACAGGGAAACGTCACATTCAGAAAAAATCTCCAAACTGAAAAACCACACGTTAATGTCAGCGTGGAAAAATAGCAGTTTCTGAGGCAGGTGCAGCTGGATCTGTTTGGCAGGCCAGAAACCCCAGAATTCAGAAAATGACATACTGGCAGAGTCTGTAATTATCTTTCTGCTCACACATTAAAAAATAAGGTTTTTTGGGGCTTTCATGCCATTTATAGATATTCCCCTCCCTACTCTATGTTTGTAAGACATAAAAACTCTGTGGAAGGAATCCTTTGGGCAGAAAAAGTTAAATTACCCGGTCGTAAATTATTAAAATGACATTATTGTCTCTGTCATTTATGAATATAAGGCTATGATGTTTTCATTTCAGAAGTTTAACAGCTGGACTCAAGATGTTTCCTACTTTACCAAAAAGTGAATTCTCATTATGTGCAAGTGGTGGAAGAAGTGCTCAGACTTATACTTAAACTCAAAATGCATTAAAATCTTACTTAGTACAAAAAGCATTGGCATCAAAATATACTTAAAGTACTAAAAGTAAAAGTACTCATATGCAAATTTGCCCATTTCAGAGTGTGTGAAAAGACTTGATTATAAATTAATTAAAGTGTTATCACAGCTGATAAAGGTGGTGCTAATTGTAATAACTTTATAAACTGCTGCTTGATATCTTAACCTAAATGTCAATATTGATTTAATCTGAATGAGTCAAAAGCTGTCAGATAAAGTAGTGGAGTTGTTTCTACTTTTACTTGAGTAGGCCTAATGGATATCTTTCTTCCACCTCTCTTCACATTTCACTTTCTACCTGTTCTGTTGCATAACAAACAGAAACACATAATCTGTCATCGAGCTGTAATCCGTCCTGAGGGCAAATCAGAGAGTGAGGGGTCATGAAGGAGGAGGAGGAGGAGAAGCGTTGAAGGCCAACCACACGGAGGACCAACCCACTGCATGTCGAGTCCTGCCTGCCTGCTCTGTTCACACATCACACCAGAGCCGCTGCCTGACACAACTGCTGCTGCTACTGGATATTTGCCACTCTACAGGTGCGTGGAAAACGGATTTAAAGTTTACTTTTCTGACCATTTGGACGGGTTTGTGCGTAAAGACGCGTAACATGGGTCCGTGACGTTATTGGACGCGAGTGGTCTTTTTTATTCTGTGGGTATCGATATTGCTTATGGTTATGACTCTATCGTTTTTTTAACTGTATGCATGACAACTAAAGTTGCCCGAGACAGTGTCCTCTTTCTGTTGGTGCGTGGAAAGGTACATTCAAAGTTACGATTGTTGGATAGGATGCGTAAAGACGCGAGAAATGGGTTCGCGTTGCTCTGAAATGCATTCAGTGTATGCAAGTGGTCATTTTAAACTATTACGTTATGTACTACTGGGTTTTTACGCATTTACAGGTGCGTGGGAAAGTAGTTGTACGTTACGATCATTGGATAAGATGCGTGAAGTGGGTTCGTGTTGCTCTGAAATGTATAATGATTTACTGTTAGCAACTGGTCCTTTTGGAACAGTGTGCGTGTTTCCTAAATCCGTGTCCTCTCTCTGCTGCTTCTTCTGGATATTTACGCATTAACAGGTGTGTGAGAAAGTGTTAAAAAAATTACGTTTTTAACATTTTGGATGTATTGGATGCCTGAAGATGCGTGGATTTGATTTATAGTGACTTTACCTTAAGCAAATTGTAATTTTTTATTTCCTACCGTATCGATATCACTGATGGTTTTGACAACGCCAATCAAAGTCGCTTGAGCCTTGTCCTCTCTCCGCTGCTGCTGCTACTACTGGGTATTACAAGTGATATTGTTTGGAATAGATGCGTAAAGATGAGTCAAATTGATCCGTGTTGCTCTGACATGTAACTTATTTTTTAACTGTGTGCCCGAGCCCTCCCTCTTTGGTGCAACTTCTGGATATTAACGTTTTTACAGATGTGGGGAATGTTTTAAAAGTCACGTTTTTGCCATTTTTGTCGGATTAGATGCGTGAAGATGGATGTGTTGAAATGGATCTGTTGCTCTGAAAGACATTCAAAGTGACATGTAGTCAGTGTAGTGACAACTGGCTGGTCCTTTTAACTCTTGTGGTATCTATATCATGCGTTTTTTTTATGATTCATATACATGCTTCCAGTTCCTGTTTGAATGTGTATCCCTTGTTTAGCACCAACTGGAAGCATTTATTAATTCTTTATTTTGTTTATAAAACTGTAATAATCCGTAAAAGTAAAAACATACAGGAAACTGACAGCTCAGTCGTGAAAATAATCATTACTAAGTGTTATATTTTCTGTTTGTATTCTGACTCATGTTCATATTTTCTAAATTAATCCGATAATGAATTTCATGTCATTATAAGGGATCGTGTTCATGTGTAGTCATCCTCACTGACCTTCCTCTCCTCTTGTTTACTGCAGGCTGGCTCTCATCGCCTCCTAGTGGCAGAAATTGTGAGATTTTGGGAGGAAAATCCTCAAAACCACAGGAAATCCTCTCTGACTGCATCAAAGGGAACACTATTTCCTTCAAGCTTCTAATACCAGAGAAATATGCACAACCAGAGGACTTCATGACAGCTTTTCTGAGGATCTAACCTTCAAAGATATTTCGAATCCTTGTGGAAATAACAAAAAATGTCGACAGAGTCTTTCCACGCCGCCTACGCTGCTGTAGCCCCGTCTGCCAACCCGATGTCGCCCTCCACTGGAAACCTGCTTCGGATGTTTCGCTCGTATCAAAGTAACGCTGTCATCTTGAAGCACTACAACTACACAGGGAAACTGGAGGGCAGATACAAGGAGGGGCTCAAACCCGAGGCCATCGCTTTCCTGCTCGTCTGCGTGCTCATCGTCATAGAAAACGCCATCGTGCTTCTGGCCATTTGGAAAAACAAGAAGTTCCACGTGCCCATGTACTACCTCCTGGGCAGCCTGACCCTCTCCGACCTGCTGGCGGGCTTCACGTACATGGTGAACATTGTAACATCCGGCGCCAAGACTTTGAACATGACTCCGGTGCTTTGGTTCCTCAGAGAAGGCGGGGTTTTCATCATGTTGGCGGCGTCCGTCATCAGTCTGCTCGCCATCGCCATAGAGCGCCACGTGACCATGGTGCGAATGAAGCCGTATCAGGGCGACAAACAAGGTCGGATGTTCGCTCTGATCGGCGCCAGTTGGGTGTTGTCCATTTTCCTCGGAGTGCTTCCCGTTCTGGGGTGGAACTGCATGGGTTTGTTGGACCAATGCTCCACGGTTCTCCCGCTCTACGCCAAAAGCTACATCCTGTTCTGCATCACCGTCTTCAGTGCCATCCTCATGTCCATCGTGGTGCTTTACGTGCGTATCTTCCGCATCGTGAAGTGCAACACGCAGCGTCTCGCCTCGGCACCGCAACGAAAAGGCCTCTACCGAAAGTCCCAGAAGTACATGGCGCTCCTGAAGACCGTCACCATCGTTCTGGGAGTCTTCATCATCTGTTGGCTGCCGCTCTTCGTCCTCCTACTGTTGGACTTCTGCTGCCCGGCGAAAAGCTGCGATGTGCTCTTCAAGGCGGACTACTTTCTGGGTATCGCCATGTTAAACTCCCTGCTGAACCCCATCATCTACACGCTGACGAGCAAGGATATGAGGCGGGCGATTCTGAGGCTGCTGTGCCGACCTTGTCTGATGACGAAGGACGGGCAGTTGAAGAAGATCGGGATGCCCTTCCTGGAGTGCAGCACCAGTAAAACAGACGGTGTTTCCCATAGGCTGGAAGGACTGGAGACCACGGTGTCTTCTGGGAACTGTACGCCCTCCACTATCAAAGCGATTTACCCCAGGGTGTCCAAAACATGACACACGGGACTCTTAGAGAAAGCACTCGGACTAAAACATGGTCTCTGAATCTGAGCTGTGCTTCGTGTTCGACTGGGGTTTACATTTCCTGTTGCACTCTGCCGGAGTTTTTGGTATTAAAACCTCATGGACAGAATAAGCTCGATGCAACAGAAGTCCATATTGGGAGAAAGACAGTTTATATGCCTTAAGAGGAGGAGGCAAACTAGCATTACATTTATCTTTAAGACACTAAAAACACGGCCAGTATTAGTCAGAGCATCTTCCGTCTAGCCGTTTCCTTTCATCAGTGTTTGTTTTCCTCTTGAAAAGGAAATGAAAGGGCAGATGTTATGGATAAATACAGGGGATGGTCATGATATCATCTCACAGCTGAAACATGAATTCATTTGGGTGGTTTGTTGCAAATGATCTGGAAATTCCCCTATATTGGTGCAACACAGTGTTGGGAGCTCGCCTTGACAACAGCATCAAATCAACACAGAAAATGGAAAAATATGGAGCTTTTTTGGGCAGTTTTACTTGAAAAATGACAGAAATTGTTATTTATTAAATTAAGAAAACAGTTTATCAGTGAATCCTTTGAACAAATGTTCCAGAAAAGTAGTAATCTAATGTTGGCAGATGGAGAAATAATGGATTTGGTGGCAATATCTTTGGCCGTGATCTTCATTTCTTTGTTTCTTTTCCACGACAAATGAAGACGAATAGTCAGCATGTCATATCAATGGAGATGGATGTTTCTTTTGGGCCAATTTTCAAAAAAATCCATGATATTTGAGCCAGATTTGGTTGAAAACTGGCCTTAAGAAAAGCAGCAAATCACAACAACAAAAATCATTACCGTCTTTGTCCGTTTTAATTGAAAAATGACTGTAATTATAAGTTCCAATTAATTCATCAATGACTCATTTCATAGCATTTATTTTGGTGGCTTTTCCTTTCCAATGTTTAAGGAAATCCCATAAAATGTGTCCTACATATGGATTTGAGGACAACAGAACATTCATTTTCATAAGTAAACCACATTTTCTGTCAGATTTACTTGAAAAATGACTGAAATTATAAAAAAAAAGAAATCAATAAATCATTTCAAGTGAACTAAAGCTGTCAGGTAGAGAAACAAGGCTATGAACAACATCTCATATGTGTTTGAATGAACACAGTGTGCAGTCGTTTCACATAAACCCATTTAATCACGCTAATAAACCGAGGGTAAAGCTCAAAGTGTGCCTTATCTCGTCGCCCTGTGATACATTTAATGACATGTTGTTACAGGAGCATCCACACCCAGAAATCTGCAGCCAAACCCATGTAATGTCTGCCATGTGAGTCTTTTTCGTCATTCGCCCCGATGATCAGAGGCTCTTTTTTGCCCGGAGAGGCCCTGAACGCGTCATACTGTGCTTTGGAGGTCCCTTCAACGCATGATGAATGACTCAAAGCAATAAAACCCGACGGCGGACGTTTGTTGACGCCTTCTCGGGCTGCAAAATCTCATTTATGTACTTAATTATGGAGAAAAGTTGCTCTACTTGTTGGAGAAAGTTCAATGTTTCTCGCGTTAAAATAGCGGATATCATCTGTTATCAGAAATCTGCCCGACAACAGGGGGTGGGCTTCTGGGGGGAATTCATTTTGTGGTTATAGTGACATAGAAAAATAAATGTATTGCTTTGCCAACTGTGTTATTGTACATACATGTAAAGAGAAAATCTATTTACTTTGTTTTGTATACTTTGTAAATATCTATAGTCCTTTTTTTTTGTATTGTGAAAAACCTGACTTAAGTTATGATGTCACTTTTTATATGTGCACTGAATAAAAACATGTGAATCAATTTTACCTGGAGGTGTGTGTGGGTTTATTTGAACTGTGGTAGAGTTTCTGTTTTCTCACAAACACATCCTTCCTGTTTTTCACCGTGAGTCAAAACTAGAAAAGACAAATATACATGGGGAGGTGGTGGTCTTCGGATCAACAATATTGAATGTATGCAAGTTGGTTTAGGTAAAATTGTCTGTGAAGAGACCTGTAGGCTATGTCATTTAAATACAGCAAACAAAGCATCATTTGTATTACTGAGGTAAACAAAAAAAGTTAATATCCTCAGCTAAATGTATTTAAAGTATTAAATGTCCAAAAAATAAGAAAAAATAATACAGAAAAAATATATATATTGTAAATAATAATAAAAAATTGGCTCATTAAACTCATTTATATGCAAAAATATTAATTGCTAAAGCTATCGGATAAATACAACGAAGTAGAAAGCTCAAGATGTCCCTTTAAATTGAAGTGTTTAAGTAAAAAGAAGCATAAAATCACAGCAAGTTAATCATTCAGTGAATCCTGTGAAACCCCAGTGATAAATGTGTCATTTATATTAGGATTAAACATTTTAAACAAGATTATGATCCAGTGCAGATTAAATGAACAATACAGATGAACAGAGCGATGATCAGGCATGACTAACAGAGCCCCGCGCCCCCGCTCACCACTTGTTAACCACTTGCTAAGAAGTGTGATGATGAAGCGGCAGAGACGCTGCTCTGTTTACCGTCAGGAAACCACACGCTGTGCCCCAGTCATGATGAGAGCGAGGCGAGTGGCGCTCTGCCGCTCTTTAAAACGTTATCTACCCTCCTCACCACCACGCGCTGCACCCTGCGGCATCGATTCCTCTAAACTGCTGATGAAATGTGACACCGCTGAAATACAGATCATAATAACAATAACTTTGCCATTCAGGGGACCCAAGGTCGCTTTACAGAAAAAAACAAAACAAACAGTCAGACAAACAACAAATGAAGAAGAATAATATCCTACTTTGTGTTAGCTGTTCTCCTCTGTTACGTTACATGCAGTGGTGTGTGTGTGTGTGTGTGTGTGTGTGTGTGTGTGTGTGTGTGTCTTTGTGTTTGTGTATGTGTTTGTGTATGTGTCTATGTGTATGCGCAGTGGCGACTGGTCATTAGGGGCAGCAGAAAGTATTACAAATAATGATTACAAAAAAACGCAAATTAAAAAAAAAAACATATATAAAATATATTCTAAGATCATGTTTAATCATCTGATTCGTCTGTACATTGCTGTTTTAGTCTGTGTTCTTCTAATTAGTGTCTACAGTGTGTGCCTATTGAGCTGTTTAGAGCCATGTGGGACAAAACCCGATCATGCCCTCCCTGTCTAAGTGAACGGTGACTATAAAAACTACACTGCGCATGCTCAGAGTATTTTCCTATCTAATGTGTGTGGCAAACAAATAATGACCATAGGGGCAGAGTGCTGCCATCCCCACCATACGTCATCTCACATCATTCAGAGCTGATTGGTTGTAAGTACGTGTGCCGCGAAAAGTGTGGTGTGTGAAGAGGAGGAGAGAGACGCGTCCCAAAACCAGGAAGTAAGCTGCGCATGGGTTCCCTCCACAAAAAAGCAATGAGATTTCTCCATAGGATTTTAGAAAATAGCTCAAAATAAGATCTGTGGGAAACGTAGCTGTTAGATAAATGCACGTTTTGTTCAGCCGGATAATATCCACATGTCTACCCTACTTTTATAATTTTCGAATCATACATCTATCGATTAGATTTATGATAGACTTTTGAAACAACAAGAAGATAAGGAGGACTTTTACAAACAAGTAATAGAGATTTTTGTCCAGAAGGATAGCCAAATGGACTTCATCTTCAAGTCAAGGTAAGACCGCAATTTTATTGAAAATGGGATCTTACTAAGAGAGAACAATTCAATATTTAAATGATAAAATTACATTTTTTGGGTATCCTTTTGTTGAACTGTCTGTTTAA